ACTTCCTGTTGCGTTCCTGAAGTCCTGCATCAGGTTGTCAGACACTTCTCTGTGAATCACTGGGTTTTTCTTCCACATTTCCTTAGCTTTTGGTATTAACTACCAGTAGTTTCCTTTCTAATGAACAGCTCCCTCTACAGGATGTAACTATTAGATCTGAAACACACCAACCAGTGGCCCTGAATTTTCAAAAACTGTATTTTAAAGCCTTTTTTTTAAACAATTGCTTTTGAAAAAGTAAAACTTTGAGATTTTTTTGAACCAGAACAAACAGGTCGTCCTTTACAGAAAGACAGGTGGCGATCATTACTGTAGACAAAGCGACATCACTTCTATTCTCTCCCCTCACTCTGAACTTTTTGTCCTGGTTTTTGTTTTGGTGCGTTTGAAAAATCAACACTTTTCATCAGCACTCACTTTGAACCAAGTCAAAGTCCTGTTAGTGAACAATCAAATATAAAATAAATGTCCGAGCACTGATTAAAAACATGTAGCTGTGAGGCACAATATGATTCAATTCTTACAGTACATCTACTAATACTACACAGTTATATTTATTTTTATTTTTTTAATTGTTCATGATCTACCAGCCCTTTGCGATCTACTTATTGGACACTATGCCTTAGATTACTTTAGTTTAACATTGACACCCTTAATGATTGTGGACTGGGCCAAACCATGCTCAACTGGTGTCAACACCACAGATGGAGCCCACACCAGAGGAGAGAGGAGACAGGAGAGGAGGAACCTTGTGATTGGTCAGAGCTGTGATGCAGCTGAAACCTGATGGAGAAAATCAGAGCAGCAGCTTCAGCCTCTCTGAGGAGGAACTGTATGTCTGCTACAACTACTACTACATTTGTGAATGTTTTTTTTTTTGTTTTCTTCAGATAAACCACAGATGAAACTTCTTTAATTACCTGATGCTGACGGCTGTGTGTGTGTTGGCAGTTGATTATGACGTCAATAAATAGATGTGACCAGTTTGTAAAATCCCGTTTCTGTTCTGAGAGAGACAGTCAAACAGTCAGACAGACAGACAGACAGACAGTCAGACACCGTCAGGTGGAGTTCCTGAAAAGCTGTCTTTATTTCACTTCTTTTTTCTCTACAGACATTTAAGGACAGTGAAGTTGCAGACGGTCCCTGTTGGACATCCACACAGTTTCCCAATCCTCGAGCCTTTACGCAGAGCACACAGCTGCCCTGCATCACACTGACACACACACACACACACACAGAGGAAGATTAGACCCCTGACCTCAGAATTGTAACATAAATACAGTAATATGGATTTTTTCAACTGGTCCCTGATCAGACAGTGTTTGGGGGGGGGGGCAACCAGTCCTCTTTGGGGCCTAGGTGGTATCAAACCAGGACCCTTCTGGTGGCTACTCACCCCACCCAAACAACATTTATTGGGATGAATCCCAGAAGCTTTGCAGGTGTTGAAAGCAAAAAGTTCCAGTTCTTACTGAAGGAAGCCAGCTCTGTTTCTTCTCTGTGCTCGGCAGCTGTTTGCTTTTTAACTTCTCCAGAACGTCCTGCAGAGCTTCAATCTGTGGAGGACAAAGACAGTCAAGTCACCATTCTGGTCCTCCTCAGGGTTCAACCAATCAGAACACGGTAAGAAATGAACATAAGCAGCAGCTGTGACAGAACTATTGTCTTACCAGTTCTTTCTCCTCTGGCGTCTTGAAAATGTCCTCATGCGTTTGTTCTTCACAGCAGCCCACAACAACCAGCAGCCAGCAGGAGGCGCTGAGGAGCAACATTCTGCTGCTGACCATCACGCTGCAGGACCGGGACGAGATGAGGAAGGACAGACGGGGGACAAGTGGAACATGGACCGTGGGTCGGCGCGTCTGACGGAGTCGGGGAGCGCGGTTTAAATGTGAGCGTCTGTGACGTCGCAGTGACGCTGTTTATTCAGAAGTAATGAGACAAAGAGACGAACGACCTCTGAGGTCAGCGAGGACAAAGACCTCCGCTCCTCTGACAGGAAGCTGGACTTTAAAATTTGTTTTAATTAAATGTAAACTCTTTAGTAGCAGCACCCCCTGATGTTTGGAACACGTTCATAGACCGAGTCTGGATAGAAAGGGTATTTTTGTCCCACTTTACTTCATGGTGAAGTATTTTATCTATGATGACCATATTTGGTCTGGATTCTGCACTGTGATCAGTGTGCACTGATGATGTCATCATTAGGTGACTGTAGGTTCTCTGTTTGTGTTCTGAGAAAGGCAACACAACATTTACACACACACTGTCAAAGCCTCACACCTGGACCAATTCACAGAGACAAACAGAAGTGACAGGAAGTGACACGTCACCAGGTCAGACTGTCTCAGCGTGTACGTCAAACTAAACAGAGATGAGGCTTCAATATCCTGGTCAGTGTCAAGAGGTCAGTGAACCCTCTGGACAGCACGCCCGCACATACAGTACATACACACGCACGCAAAGCAGTTAAGGAGGGGTGGGATTACACAGTTTTCTGGAGCTCAGTTTGAGTAAAACAAAGTCGTACCACTAATTAAGTGTATAGGTACAGCCCTGATGATGGTCTGACTTTTCATGAGTTTTACTCTGACGCCCTCTGGTGGTGACACAATATAACGTGATTGGGTTCATGTCTTTAATAACCAAATATTTTACATGTCATTGCTGAGAACAGCAGAGCTTCAAACGGGAACAAAAATTCTAAGTGCTTAAAACACAAACAACGTCTGCTGCATCCTAACTTCACTGACATCATTCAGGAAGAAATCAAACTAAGTATTCAACAGAAAATGGTGCACAGCTGTCCAGGCAGCATCTTGTCTCACAATTCTCCTTGGCTCTAAAGCAGGAAGGAAAATGTTTTGGTAGATGTTGGCACTCAGGAGGTCAGGTGGTGTGATGTTCGTCCAACAGATACAGAGCACCAATCCAGTGTCTGTCACTGTTAGCTGAACATGAACAACACACTGGAAAACCATTACAAAACGCTGCTAAATCAGTGAAAATCAGTGATTTTACTTTAGCTGAGTACAGGAGCTGCTGGTCCACTGCTGCATCCTGTGGTCAGAGTGACGGAGGTCAATTCAACAGTGAAGTCACAGAGGAAACCCATTAAAACATCACAACTAATTGATGGAGCAGCAGTGGATCAACAGCTGCTGAGTCTAAAATCTCTATTTTTTTAGAGTTTTCTTTAAACAGGTCATGTGATGTGTTCAGGTTCTTACCTTAGTCTTTAGTTGTAGACTTCAGTCTCTGCTCAGTCTGAAAAATAAAAAACAATGATCAATAACTAAATTATAATCATCCAGTAACTAACTTATAATCATCCAGTAACTGAAATATAATCATCTAGTAACTGAAATAAAAATGATCAAAGAACTAAAATATAATTATCCAGTAACTAAAATATCATCATTCTCTCCAACAACAAATGTGTTCTGCTGATGGTGATGGACAGAACAGAGATCTAGTTCTATTACCACAGTCTAAACTGCACCCCTGCGATGACATCATACTAACCATGTAGGTTCCTGTGTGAAAACCACACATGTACCACAGCATCAACATGCTGGAGGAGGAGTCTCCACACTCTTTACTGTCAGCTGACCAGAGGGAAGGAGCAGAAGGAGGAGGAGGAGGACTGATGATGGACTCCTGGAAACAGCAGAAACTTCATCAGAACTGATTTCCAACAGTTCTGATCATGGTACTGATCCACTCTTATTATTTTACCCTTTGGCTCAGCTGGGTAGGAACAGGAAATAGAGGCAGGAGGGTAGGGCTCTGATTGGTCGGCTGCTGTCTTGACTGGTTTTCTTTCAGGTCCATTTCAGCATCTTTACCTGCTGCACTCTGTTTGGTTTTATCCTGACCCTTCAGTAAAGTAACAGAAAAAACAAACAGTGAATGAACATACACAGGCAGCACAGGCTCAGAAACTGTCAGGGGTCAAAGTTCTACTTTACAATTCTAGCAATCAGTGTCGTGGAACAAAACCGTTTTCTTTTAAACGATGGTCAGAGAAATCAGTTCCTCTGCTGTTTAAAAACAGTTCCACCAAGTTACCAGTGCCAACAGTACCTGGACACCTACTGGTCTTCAGGGAAGGACTGGGCGATTAATTGAAATTGATTTCGATTACAATTTTTACTTTCCACCATCATGAAAACAAGACAATCGAAATAAAACGATCATTGTGCCAATCGCGTGATGTCAATGCAGCAGTACACACTACAGCAGTGAGCTGTAGTGTCATTCATATATATATATGTCATTCATATATATATATATGAATGTGAAAGTAATTATCTTCAGACAACAATGTTGCTGATGCAGTAGTTGACCAGTTGACCAGTAGGAGCACCCACATGTTTACTGTGAATAAGCTCTGCTGATCTTCCATCCACGATGGCCTCCTCTCTCCTCTCCCTCCCCCTTTTTCTCTCTGGCTCTCGTCTCTCCTCCCTCTCCTCCTGCTCACCTGTGTTCGGGTTAAAAACGAAGACTTGTTCAGGAAACTGTACAACAATCACTACAGCCATGTGATATCAGGTCTACTAATACGGAGTAACTGGTAACATGTGGGTGATTCCTGCTCTCTGATTGGATGAAACCTTCACCTTGTTCCTGCCTCTGCTCGGCCCTTGCAGCTCATCTGGACTCAGCAGTCCGCTGACATCCAGCTCCTCTTCGTTGTTGTAGTAGTCGAAACGAACGCGACACCACTGACCTTTGACCCACAGCACCACAGCTGGATAGATCAGCCCATCCTCTGTGTACAGTGCCCGACATCGAGAACCAGGGCGCCAGTCCTGGAAACATCCAAAAAGCAGTTCAAGTTCACCAAATAAAACAAAATTTTTATTTCAAATTAAATTTCTAATATTCAAAAACAGCCGTTCGTCAGCTGGAGAACATGTGATGATTTTGAGGAGAACTTCACATGTCAAATGTGCTTGTTATTTCTGAAGCAGCAGATGGAGAAACAGCAACTCCTTTGGCCAAAACACAAGGAATCATTTTCTTGTAGCAGACAGTTACCTGGGAGGTTGGGGTTGGAATGGGCGGAGCCTCTTCAGGGCTAAGGAGTGAGCTCAGTTTGACATCTTCTTCGTTACCGTACCCAGTGAAACGGACTCTGCAGTGCCCCCCATCCAGACACACCACAGTGGCAGGATACACCTGTCCGTCCTCTGACCACACAGTTCGACATGGAGACCCCACCTCCCACTGGCACACAAGAGGAGTAAGAGGTTAAATGTGAATTGTGAGTTCAACTCTCATTGGTCGTTGTTTTTATTGAAAATGTCTTCATCAGTGATGTCACAATGCATCGAGAATCAGTAGAAAATCCATACAAGTCTGTGACAATCCTCACCAATTGTAATAAAAATGAATCGTTCATCAAGGAGTAAGGAGTTGGCTGAGTTCTCTCATACCATGACACTACCCACTCCAGTACAGGTGCCAGTATGCGTCTAAAAACTTTGGTTGTGACCCACTATTAAACCCAGATGTCAGGTCTCTACGTAACCTAATAGACATTCGGGCGGTGAAACAGAATGTGGGAACTCCACAGACACCAACAGTGTTTTCCAGTGTTCCTGTAAAGAAAGGAACTCTTTCCAGTTTCTATTTTTTCTCTTTTTCTGTTGTTTCATATATTGACAGTTAACTGGGTCAATCAGACCAGCCCTGTTTGACTTTTAATCAGAGCAGATCAATGGTGATATTCAGTGTTTCTAGAAAAAAATGTGACGTTTTTCTCTTCTGTTATTGAAGAGAACAATTTCAGTTGGTGATGGGATTTTACACAGTTCTGACAGAGAAAGAATCAGTGGATTTGGTCACAGGTCACTGGATTCTCCTGGAAACTCCAGGATCACATGTTGCTCTCAGACCTCCAGCTGAGGTCGGTACCTGATACTGTGAGGTGAAGGTCTCAGCTGAAGGTGGACAGAGCGTCTGTTCATCAACGTCCTTCAGCTCTGACTTCTGACTGTCTTCTGTCTCCTGTGTGGTGGAACGTCCTGAAGTGTCTTCCTGCAGAAACACAGAGAAATGACATCCGTAATCACTGAGAACTCTTCAAAAACCTCCGTTCATTTGTTTGTTTTCTCTATGTGACTTCAGTTAAACCACATATTTAGTATTTCATTTTATGTTCACGCACCACAGCAACTGTTGACTCGGTTTATTTTTGAGGTTTAAAGATTTGTTCGCTTTCTGTATTAATTAAAATATTTATTACATAATCACTAATACTTTTAACAGTTAACACATTAGAACTAAATGTGGTATGTTTAAACTCAAGACTCACCTGTGATATTTTAAATGTGTTTTCAAAGGTTTCCAGGACGGACGTTTGGTTTTTGAAAACCACCTGTGGACATAAACGGATAGCGTTAGCTGTTAGCCGCTCATTCCCACACTAATTAAAACTAATTAAGGCTTAGTTCACTGGTTTAACTTTAATTATCTGTCAGAACTTTGTGACTATATCATTTATTCTGACTGCGATAACAAAAAGAATACACATTGTGAAATTAAGACGGTACCGGTCCAGCGGAACACTTTTCTGTGGCAGTTAGTTCCGTCATTTCTTTCTTTCTTTCTTTCTTTTCATTTAACCGCCTCCTTTAACACCTGCATCAAGTTAACTTTGACCTAATCAGTTCTGTTCTGACCTTTCACAGTAAAAGTATAGAACACGTAATTTCCGTAAAGATTATTAATTTATTGTTGAGAATTACAAACCGGTTTTCCTAACTCGACTCTTGGTAGAGTAATATCAGTACATCGATTCTGTAAAATAAAGTTCTCCAGTTAACCTGAAGAAATATCAGATATCATCAAATTGAAAACATAAATACGTTGTATTCAAATTAAAAGTCCAGGTGGAACACAAATACATTCATAAAACGGAATGAAAACTGAAAATCCTCGTCCGTAAGAACTCGTGTGTTCAGTCAAAGCCTCAAACATTTACACATGAAATGAGTGATACTCAATATTGACATTAACATTTTAATAAAAATGAGCTGAACATGAAAGTAAAAATACGAAGGAAAAGTTTCTGTTTCTTCGAAAAGCATTCGAATCTTTTATTTGTAGACTTAATTTAGTTAATTTAAAATTTTGTTCCAGTTTTAATTTGTCAAAGATAAATGTTTGTTAGAATATATATTATATATTAATTATGTTTAATTGTTGCTTGAAGTTTAGATCTTTTTATACTATCTTTTTTTAAAATGTCTTTCTTTTATTCCGTACAGGATTTTTTACGTTTCTTTTCATATATTTTACTTTTTCAGTTTCTTTGTCGTTAAACTAATGATCATGTGATCAGTGTTGAGTGGTCGGTCTGGTCATGTGATTAGCACTTGAACCAATGCAATTAATCACCTTATTGATGCTATGGATCAGTTGGGTGCAGAGTCACGCCTTATATCTTGATCACATGACCTTTAAAACCACAAATAGAATGAAAAAGCACAACTGTCAGTTGTTGTTAAAGGTCGTTAAATAAATAAATAATTGAAAATCCATGCCGAAGATTAGTATGACCAGCAGAGGGCAGAGCAGGACTTCTTTTTAAATCTACTTTAAAGTAATCTTGACTTTTTAGAGTTTTGTTTACATTTCATTAGAAATTGCAACGCACCATTAGTTCAGTTTAATAACTTCATATTATACCAACTGTGGACAGTTAAAATATATTTTCATATACTTGTAATGTTTCGAAAGATTATACAACCTGTAAAATGTTTATGTGTTGTATCCCCGTGTTACAATGACAATAAAGACTATAATAAATTATATATATTATATATTCTATTATAATATTATATTATTAAGATTAAAATTAACCTGGGTTTAAATCAAATCAAATTAAATTGATTGTTTATGGTTATCAGTGATGAAATAGATCTGTAGCTAAGAGTTCTTAAAAGTGAAACATGTAACATAAATAAAACTAAAGTAGAAGTAAAAAAACAAGAAAAGTCGCACAGTGAGGCGTTATTAGATTTTTGCAGCAAAAAAATCTTCGCTGTTCACTCAACAAGATAATAAACGATAAGAAACAATGACGTTGTTGTATATGGGAATACATTATGTAAATACAAAATATAAAATAAAGTATAAAATCTTTTTCGATTCTTAATATGGACCAGGACCAAAACCAGGACTATCCATAACATGTTCTACAGAAACTCACTGCTGCAGGGTTTCACTACTACCGTTAGGGGTCGTCTGAGACCAGAAATCCTGCAGTCGAAACACACCAAACAGAACGAAGTTGTTGACGTAGATCAGAAGTTCAGATCAATAAAAAAAAGTGGAAGCAAACAAGTGTCCAACAGGGGGCAGAACAGAACTAGACAGAGCCTCCACCAAAAACACACACTACAATACCTGTGACTCACATTGTCCTTCAGACATTTTAACTTTGACCCAGGGTCCGAAAACCAGTCTAGGTCCAGATGTGGCCTAAAAATGTAGGCCACTGTGGAGCTGGAGTCTACTGTGTGGGATGAAACATTTGGCCACTTGACAAAGTGGGTCTGATTGAACAGCTCTCGGCCGACATTTAAGACTCCCAGATCTGTAATGGGCTGTACACATCAGGTGCCCAAACTGTGGCCCACATCCTGATGAAGATGACAGGAGGTGATTATGACGTCATCAACAGGACCCTGATAGTGTGGTGTAACAATCATGTCTGTCATGTGAATGTCATCACGCTAGAACCAGAACCAGAACCACAGAGTCTATATTTAGAGCCCAACTGTACGTGGTCTGTCCATGACGTCACAAACCTTGTCTGTGTTTGTGTGTGCGGTTTCACTCAGACCGAGGGATTCTCCGAAACTTAGTGTCCCACGTGGTTTCACACCAGTCTGCTGATGTCTCAGCCAATCAGTGGTGAGTGTAAATGAGGAGCCGTGGAGGAGTGTAGACCAATCAGAGAGCTTGACCGCGCCCCTCTGAGAGCCGCATAAAACACGGACTGCGAGACCAGATCGGAGACAGATCCAAGCAGGACTACAAAATCACGACCCTGGTCTAAACTGGTCCGATCTTGATCGACTCTGTTGTGGATTATATGCTGGATTATTTCAGGATGACGCTGGAAGAAATGATGAAGAGGAACAACAATATCACTGAGTAGGTTATAGTTTCAGAACCTGGACCTGCAGACTGCAGTGTTTCTGTGTGTGTCTTACTCACTTCTGTCTGTGTGCAGGATGAAGACTGTGGGTTCGGCTCTGGAGGACCTACTTGTCACGGCTCAGAACCAGGACCGGCTGACGGTGGGAGTCTACGAGTCCGCCAAACTCATGACTGTGTAAGTTTTCACTCGAACAAATTCAGGAATCGTTTCTCGGTTTAATCCATTATTTTAGAGATTTTATTACGAGCCTGAGAATCTGTTCACACTTCTCAGTTAAATCTGCTTTATGTCGTTTTTGTGTCATGACGACGTTATAACTGATGTATAGCTCGGTGCTAACTAAGTTAGTTTAGCTTCGTTCATATTTATTATATTTTAATGTTTACATTTGTACTTTGTCATCCTTTTACGATGTTGGCGACACAAAGTATTTTCAGGAGCCTATTTACTGACTCCCCACCCTCTCTCTTCACAGTGACCCAGACAGCGTGGTTCTGTGCGTCCTGGCTACAGACGAGGAGGACGAAGGTGACATCGCTCTGCAGATTCACTTCACACTACTGCAGGCATTCTGCTGTGACAACGACATCGACATCCTGCGAGTGTCCGGCGCCCGGCGACTGGCTAAGGTTCTGCGGGAGGACAGAGAAGACAGCAACGGCAACGAGCCTCGAGACCTGCACTGCATCCTGGTCACGGTACGAACTTCCGACTATTCCTCTGAGTAGAACATTTGAGGGCCATCATGGCATCAGTCCGTCTGACACCAGAACGAACTAACTAACTCTTCTGCTCTCCTCTCTGTGCAGAACCCGCCATTGCAGTGCTCTTCTCTTCAGGATATCAGCAGCTTCTGTGAGGAGAGTCGCTACAGGAACCAGTGGGTACCATTTCTACAGCTGCAGGATCGCTGACCTGGACCTGGACCAGAATGAGTCAGGTCCCAAGGACCGGCTTTTGTGTTTAGTGAAGCTGTCACTGAGCAGCGACGATGAGCGACTACTGTCCAAACTGTCGTCCTGAGGTGAAGACGGAGCACAAGGTACAAACAGAACTGACCTCCGGCAGGGAGACGGTGCGGAGACCTTTTCGGCTACCTGATTAGTGGAGGATGAGCTGGAGTGCCACCCTCATCCCCCCACTGGGCGCTGTGGTGGTACTGGTCCTGGTGCATGGGTTCTGAAGGTGGATCAGACTGTGGTTTGGGGTCTTTGGAACTGCAGAGACTATTGACCAGGAGGTCACATGACATTAGCAGGCGTCAGCCTGAACTGAACCTGATGTTGTTGTTGACATGTCGATTAATTCTGATTTAATCTGTTCAGATCATCCATGTTTTACTCATCAATAAATGTTTGAAGAATCAACTGAATCTGATTGGTCCGTGTTCAGAACATCTGCATCACCTTTGACCAGCAGTAAACCAGCAGCTCCTGTGTCTCTATGGACTTTAGTGTTGGACAGTGGGGGTTAGCAGATGAGCTAAAGTGCAAGAAAAAATAGTTAAAATCGACTTAATTTAGCTTAGATATTGGTAAGAGTTAGCCCCTAGCAGAAGACAAATGTTAGCCAAAGTAAGATGAATGGTTAGTGACGTTAATGAAGCAAATGCTAACTAAAAATGGCCAGAAGCAGCCGGATTCTGTAGCAGCTAGCAGTGTTAAAAAAACAGCATTTAGGTGGGGCTGATCTGTGTGTGTGTTTTGAATCATCAGAGAACACACACCTGTGAACAAACAGCCTCCAGCGTCTTCCTGTGATGTCACATCTTATAATAAGCAGGAATTCTCAGTGTGTTTATATGCTCCTCCTCCTCCTCTTCTTCTTCTTCCTCTTCCAGAACATGTAGAAATGAAACAGAAACTCAGATAAAAATCTATGTCATGAAAACAATTTGATTCCATCAAAAATACAAAGAATTAAATCATCATAAAATATTCACTGAGATAAAACCAGATCAACAAACCTGAGGTCAGCAGACCCAGGGAAGTCCCACACACTAGAGTCTGCTGCCAGGGTCATGAGACCAGTCATGCTGTGGGTCAGACTGGTCACATGAAAGCCAACAGCCACCCCTGGCTTTGTTTCTCACTGTTTCTCTCCATACTTAGAAAAACAGCAGCTGCACTGATGATGTCATTGTTCTAGTATGACATCATCTGCAGCAGATCAGCTGTGTGTGATGTCACAGATGTTTTTACTGGAATCCCTGAGCTTCTGTGGGAAATACATAGAGAGAGAGAGTGTGGGGGGGAGAGTCATGGACGTGTCATGTGACCATTGAGTCAATGCCAATGATGATATCACCCCACCCCTCTACTGATTGGATGAGTCAAATAGTAGAGCAGGCTTTGCACACCAATCAGAGCAGAGCAGGGAGGGATGGGGGAGAGAGAAAGAAAGAGAGAGAGAGAGAGAGACAGCTGATGTCACTGTGAGTAATATGTCAACAAACAAAAAAACATCAGAACATTAGACATGAATGTCTCAGTGTGAATGTAGTGTGGACAGACGACAGAGAGAGGACTGGTCTGCTCACCACTGAGCTCAGGCCCAGGTCCATACACACACTGACAGTTTGAGACTGAGGACAAACTGAGACTCTGTCTCTACTAGACCCTGGACACCAGGTCTGGTTCAGGACCCTCATCAGAAGCTAAACCTAAAATACAACCAAAATAATTATGTTTATAATAAAAAAACATAAATGACCTCAGTACATGTACAGGAGTGTGCCCCCCCCAACCCTCCCAGCCACACACACAGACAAACCTCATAGACAAAACCAAAGATTTTAGACTCAGCAGCTGTTGATCCATCACTGAGTTCTAATGAGATTGACCTCAGTGACACAGACTGACCACAGGAGGCAGCAGTGGACCTGCAGCTGCTAAAATCACTGACTTTCTCTATGAGGTTTGGTGTGGGAGAATGAGGTGTGAAGCTGCAGGAGGACAGTGTGAGAACTGACACACACACACACACACACACCAAGAGTGAGGATCTTCTCACGCTGCATCAGTAGGTTTACACCTCTAACCTCTGACCTATGCTGAGTGTAAACACCTCACACACACACTTAAACCTGCTGTGCAGGGAAAAACACAATTTCAGGGAATGTAATAATGTGACATCATCACTGCTAAATGTAAAGCAACTAAAGCTTAGCATTAGTAAACCGCTCAAAAATTATGTAAAAATTATGTAAACTGGCTAAAATAGCTAAACGTAAGCCTCTAAGATCATCATCAAGTGAAAAAGTTCTGAAGGAGGAACACAGCAGTTCCGACAACTAAATGTTCAACTTGTACAAAATAGAACTATTGACAAACAAATATGAAGGAAGTTAGCTAACAGTTAGAACAGGAAGAGCTAAAAGTATCCACGCCAACTTAGAACAACACACTGAAAGTCACAGTGGATGGAGAAAGAGCTAAAAGTTAGCATAGCAACACTGAGCATCTGTCAATCACATTACCCTGGGCTGCACCGGAGCAGCTCCCAGAATGCACTGCTACTAAAACACAAAGCTTGGCCACACACTCACCCTCAGTGGTTATCAGTCCCTGATCAGATGATTGGTCAGGTGTCCGGGGTCAGCCGTTGGTCAGCTGACTGATGGGCAGCAGCTGTGACCATGTGACACCTCTGAGTGTGAGAAGCTGTCACCTCTGACTGTCAGATTCTCACAGGTCAAAGGTGAGATCTCTAACCTTCATGCTGACCACACAGAGTTGTCAGAGGTTAGCGATTAGGAGGCTGGGAAAAAGGGGGTGGAGTCAGGAGTCAAGGTCATGACCGTAGAATCTGATTTAGTGGTTTTTGTATGTATAGGGTCCGGATCAGTCTGTGAGATAAGAACTGGTCCAGGATATGCATGAAGATCTGGTCTGAGGTCTGGGTTTACATTTGGACCAGAACCCATAGATAGATAGATGACAACAAGCTCTACACACAACACACAAGAATACAATGGTGATGTCATCAGCGCACCACCTGATGACATCACCACTGCAACACCTGATGTTGTCATCATGAGAAGAACACTGATGCTGATAGGAGTACTGCTACTACTGGAAGGAGGAGGAGGGGAAGGGGAAATAGAAGAAGAGAAGGAGGTGGAGGACTAGAGGAGAAGGAGGAAGAGGTAGAGGAGGAGGAGGAGGTGAGTGGTTGATGTGTCAATGACATCAGAGAATTTGAAGGAAATAAAAAGTATTGAAACAATGCTTTTTTTCTTCCTTCTCGGTGAAGTTGGTTCAACAGCTGGTTTACAGGAAGCTTTGATTCACACACACACGTGAGAGGTGTGTGTGTCTGCAGTGTACAGTGACTGTAAGTCACATGACTCTCCTGCAGAGAAATCCCCACTTCCTGCTCCTCGGCTCTGCCCTTATATGGTCACTAATGGAGTTCTTTTGGTTTTGTGACTGCCCACTCACACACACATACAAACACGACTACATACATATGTTTGTGTCACTGGTTTTCTCCCTGTGATATGGGGGCGGGGGGGGGGGGGTTCTAAAGACCAACACCCTCACTCCTCCTCTCATGGAGAACAGGGAAGTTGTCAGAGAGTTCCAGCTCAGATTGTGGGTGGAGCTTGTAGCTGTGACCTGGTTCATCTTCTTCTTTCTCTCTGACCTAGAACATGTTCCTGGCTCAGTTCTCAGTCCAGACGAGGATTGTTGACAAAAATGCAGATGTTTGTCTGCAGCACCTGTGACATCATCACCGCTAAATGCTAATTATTAAAGCTAACCTGAATCTGGCTTAGTTCAAACTGGAGATTAATGAAACCATGGATACTTTGATCCTGACTTTGATCTGACATCAATCCAAGCATTCACACTGCCACACGTATATCTACACTATATATATGGGTGAACGGCTGAGTGAACGGCTGAGTGAACGACTGAGTGAACGGCTGCGTAAAGAGCTGAGTGAACGAGTGAGTGACCGGCTGCGTGAAGAGCTGAGTGAACGATTGAGTAAACAACTGAGTGCTGACAGCAGAGCCACAAACTCCTCTGTTTTCAGGTCAAACTGCTCCTGTTAGTCCTGTTCCACACACACACACCCTAACACATACACACAGACACAGTGATCTACTTCCTTCATTAGAATGACTGGAATGTTCCGCCTCAGGCAACAACACTGTCACAGACGTAAAGACAGACTTGGATGTTGAAGTTCTTCAAGCCCTGTTCTGAAGTTTATCTGTGAGAACAAAGGTTCTGTCTGGATGACCAGTGATGGTTCCACAGTCACCACCTGTCACAACCTGCTGATCCACCACAGTCACAGTCAGACAGGGACAGTGGACACGGCCTGTAGACTCCGCCTCCTACAGTAAGACAGGAGCTGGCAGCAGAAACAACAACAATCATCATGTCATTATCTAAAGAACAAACTGCTGACAAGGAGGAGGAGGACACAGGACCTAGAACACTGAGAACTGGGCCATGTTCTGTCCTCAGCACTGAATTGGTCTAACCACAGGCCAGGTCAAAACATACAGGTTTAACTAACCTCATCTGACAGTCATAACCTGAAACCCACCACTGCAGCTCCCCACACCAAAGCTCATAGAGAAAATCAGTGATTTTAGTTCACACCAAAGTCACCTGACAAAATTAGTGATTTTAGTTCACACCAAAGTCCACTGAGATGATCAGTGAGTTTAGTTCAGACAATGAGCTAAATCAATGAGTTATGTTATAAGTTATGAGGATTTTTTTTCTCAGAGCAGGTAAGAGTGGTTTAGAAGGACAAGGTCAGACGGAGAAGGAGACAGGAATTTAGAAGGAAGGACAAGAACATGCAAGAACAGTGAGTTCAGGGTCAACTGCTAAAACAATTAGGATCAATTGATTAATAGGAACATCAATAATGACGCAGTCACATGACCTGTGCCCTGACTGACACCAGAGCAGGTTTTCAGATCAAGCCAGTTTTATATTTTCAAGTCAAAAACACATTTATCCCAATGTAAAAAAAAAAAAGGAAAAATAAAAAATCATCATCAATCATTGGACATGAGAGAGGAAGCTGTCAATGTCCACATCCAGGCTGGAGGGACAGACAGACAGAGAAGACAGAAAGGCAAAAGAACAGAAGAAATACTCAAATCTATGAAATACTGAACCTGACCTCTGACCTCTGGATGTTGGTGCATGAAAGTCAAGAGAAGGTGTGTGTGTATTCAGTTGGACGTACAGTCACGCCTGTCTTCCGTCTGTCTGTTACATATGACTCATGTCTGTTTTCTCCTCCATAGCAGAGTAGCGTCTGTAGATAAGCTGGTCCCTGATGTCACACTGCCCCCTGTCGGTCATCTCCTCCACTCACTGTCAGTGTCTCTTCCCTCTGCAGGATCAACTCCCTGTTCCAGGAAACAGAGGCGGTGATGCTGCAGCTCACGACTCTTCCCGGCAGTCACTGGGACCAGTCACCAGATGGAACGCACCACCAGCCGGAGTCAGTTGATTGGCTGTCTGTGGACCAATCAGAGAGCAGCTGAGTGGAGAAGAAGAAGAGAGCGATTTAACCATCACCCATGTGACAGACACGAAGAAGCTAAACGTTAGCTAATTGTTCAGTGTCAAAAAGATAACTGTTATCTTGTACAGTGTAAATAGTTCAAATGTAACCACAGATCAGGTCAGCTAAAGGTTAGCTGGAATGAGCCCAGATACATAAAAGTTAGCTCCTATGACAGTCGTTGGTCCTTGAAGTCACAGCTTTTGTAGTCCACATTAAAAGTAAACCATAATAAGCAGATGGCCCCGCCCCTTTGTTTGCATCAACATCTATAGCAAATGTGTCAAACTCAAGGCCCGGGTGCCAAATATGTCATCTTTAGTGGCACGTGGGAGCTTAAAAATCATTTAATAAGGTCCATGCAGCAGAGTTTCTTAACCTGATAAATTAAAAGTTTTTTGAATAAATAATAATCAGTTGCAGAAACATGTATTAGTCTATTATGAAGTAGTTACATGTATACAGTCTTCTATGTCCGACTGGCCATCCAAGGGGAACTGTACTGCTGATGTGGCCCCCAGTGAAAATGAGTTTGACACCCCTGGTCTATACTATAGTTACAGTATACATACTATAGTATATACACTGTAGTAAATATACTATAGTATAAATCAGCTGACTCCAGGTTAGATAACAGTTTAGCTAATGCTAACTTTAAACATTTTCCAGGTTCACATTAGTCATATATTTTCTCACAATAGTGGAAATCAAACCAATTTAAGCTCCATGATGCTATCACTGGCTAGCTCTTTCGTTATACAAGGAGTGACCGGTACAACATCCATTTCCGTTCAATGCAACAGCAGATGAACTATTATTTCTTAGTGTTAACAGCTAGTTAGTGTCACGTTAGCAGCTGCTGCCACTGCTAACAATTGGCAGCTACTGGAAACAATTTGTGCTAGCAGCAGTGTTAAACGTTAGCACCACAGCAGCTGCTGGTTTTCATTAAACGTTGTGTTTTGTTATTTTTAAACTGAAAACGTTTTAAACTAACGTTGTGGCTCCTCCACCGTTTTCTCTAAGTCCTCTAGGGGGAGCCACAGATCAGCTGTGTGAATCATGTAGACGATGATCTGCCCCTCCCCTGTCTCCCTCTCCTCTCTCGCCTCTCTCTCTCGGTGTTCGTCTTCATCATCATCAGCTCTGCTCACAGTCATGAGGTAAGACCGCATTTTTACTTTTATTTTTATTTTTCTCTTTATGTTTCATGTTTTCTTGGTTTCTTGATTTCCTGACTCCGTCCTGACTAGGTCTCACGGTTCGGTTTCGGTCCACGGGGGTACGGTTCTGCTGCTGAGCTGCGCAGCCGAAGACAATAAAATAGATCAGGTCTAAATTGAACCGGTTCGTGTGGTTCTGTAGAATCAGAACCAGGTTCTGTTCAGAGTCCGGAGAGTCAGTAGGAAAAGGAGTAGGAGATATGGAGGCTGAGTGTGAAGGAAGGAGGACAAAGATGGAGGATGATTTAGGATTGGATGGGTGTGGATGGATGGATGGATGGATGGATGGATGCATGGCTGGATGGATGGATGGATGAAGGATAGATGGAGGATGGATGTATGGAGGATGGATGATGACGTCTTGAAGCTGAGAAGAATAAAAAATGTGATTTCACTGAAGTAAAAACAGGATTTAGTGAAAACCTTTGAGTGAGAACGGAGGACCTGACACACACACACACACACACACACACATATATATACCACATATATAAACATATATAAACATATGTAAACACAGCAGCAGTAACATTAACAGGGCAATATATCTGTAGAGTTTCTTCTTCGTCTGTATATCAGCCTGTCAACATCGTATAAATACCTTTCTGCTTTAGCGTGTTAGCATCGTGTGAACAATGACTTACTGTGTGAACGTAGGCAGCGATGACCCACAATTCCTTGGGGCAGAAGCAGGTGAAGCCACACACACACTGTGATTACTGATGACGCAGTGAGTTTCTTCATCTCTCACCTAAAAACTGCCCCGTCATCACCATCATCGTCATGGAGGTCATGGAGGTCACCCAGTGTGTGTGTAGTCTCCAGGTTCCTCCAAAGTCCAAAAACAGGCAGGTTAGAGATTAGGTCAATTGTCATTCTTAATTGACCTTGGTGTAAATGTGAGTGTGAATAATGATTCACTGGAGAACCCTGACCTGGCGACCCCCAGATCCCCCCTCTCCTATTAGCCTCAGGAGGTCACTTATCAGGTCACCCTGTCGCCCCCTGCTGTCTGGTTCCTCTCCATAGCCCTGCATCTTTTTAAGGTTAATTTTGAACCAGAATGAGAGGCAGATATGATGTCACACCTGGGGCTCTGTTCTAGACAGCAAGGGGCGCTATCTAAACTAAAAACCAGGTTAACTTTAACCATGGGATGGTTACCGCAGTAACAGACGCTCCCAGAGGATGCTGGGAGCAGTGGTGGGTGGGGGTGGGGCTGTGTTCAGATAAATATATAAAGAGGCGTGTCCATGTGTTGGTGGGTGTCATCACATCACAGAGAAGACAGCAGAGGATGATGGGTGTTGGAGGAAGTGAAGGTTTCAGTGGCAGAACAGATAGAACAATGTAATAGAACAGAACAAAGAACAGAGAAGAACCTGACACACCGTTACTGTTGTTGTTGTTGTTGTTGTTCTAACAGTTCACCACAGTAACAACACATTATCTCTATTATAATAATATAAATATGTAATAATACATATTTTAATATACATAAACATATGTGTACACATAAATGTTTATGTATATTGAAATATTTATAAATATATTTATAAATATACATTGTACACCCATAAATAAATACATATAATTAACAGTTAAATGTATGTATAAATATAAACAGTTATGATTCGATATACAGTGTGTGTATATTTATACATGTATAGTGTATACTGTATTTACAGATATGATGATGATGATGATGGTCTCTCGCTCTCTCTCTCTCTCCTTCATATTGGGGTCACACTTATCGTTTCCATGGCGACACCACTGTTAGTGCTGTTGCCTTGATGTGTTTTTCACAAGAGGGGGGAGGGGGGATTGAGCATGCCTCAACATTTGCTTACCCAGCATGCTCAGCTGCCACTGCAGTGTGTCCAGTTACTTAGACTGTGGACCCTGAACTGGACCTGATCCAGAGTCTGGTGTCACGTTCCAGGACAGAGCTGAGTCAAAATGATGAAGATGGCAACCACTTTCAGATCCTTTTACATTGTTTTGTCCTGTTATTTCCTTGGTCAGTGAACACACCACGGACCGTCCTGACCCACTTTACTTCCTCCTATTTTGTGTTTGTTTGTTTTTGCAGGGAGCGCTGCACAACATAAACATGGCCAACACTGTGGCTTCCTATGACCAGCTGGCCCACCAGGTGGAAGCGCTCCGGAAGGAGAATTCCCACCTGAGGAGGGAGCTGGAGGACAACTCCAACCATCTGTCCAAACTGGAGACAGAGACGACGGGGGTGAAGGTGAGCTGTTAGATCACCGGACGTTAAGAGGGCGGGGTTTGGCAACAGTGTTAAAAAAATGCCTCCTGCTGATGTCCTACAGGAGGCGCTGAAGCAGCTGCAGGGTAAACTGGATCAGGAGGCAGGAACCCTGGTGTCTTCTGGGAGGAGCGACGTTCTGCTCCAGCTCAAAGGTCAGCATCTCCTAGCTCTTCCCAGTGTTAGAAGGGAAGGTTTGATTAATGACCTGGTCCTGGACCAGTGGTGCAGAAGAACCACCGACTCTGAGTCAGTGACCTATTTAATCTGGATTAGCTGCAGCAGACGAGAGTCTGACATCACTGATGATGTCAGAGGTCAAGACATGATGTCATCACTCCATATCATCTCCAGAATGATTGATGTGATGATTGATGTGATGAACTTTAGGTCCACTTACTGAAAGGATCACAGATATGACCTGTTGATGGTTTCCACTGGTGTTCACTGGTTTCCACTGTTTTTTTCGCAGAGCTCCACATGGATCTGACCAACTACTACGAGCTCAAACATCAACCCCACAACCTGAGGCTATTGGCAGGAGCGGGGCTCAACATTGGAGGGGCGGAGCGGGAAGATTCCTTGGCTCCTCCCCACACCTCCTGCTCAGCCTCCTCCTCCTCCATGGCCCCCATTAGAGCTGCATCGTGTCAGAGTTCGTCATCGCTGAGTGACGCCATCATGATGTCACATCACTTCCTGGATGGAGCTCCACCCAAAACAGCCGTGATCAGTGGAGCTGACGGACGAATGAGTGACCACCATCTGGAAGAGTTGTACAAGGAGAGGTGGGAGGGTCTTAACTATGACATCATCAGTTCACTGTAGTAAACACAGAATTTTACATTTTATTAAATGAGTTTCATCCTCATCACCTTCATCTTCATCATCATGGAACTCTCAAAGTAACTGTTGTGTGTGTGAGCAGGAACCTCCTGTTGGGCGAGCTAGATCGTGAGGAGAGAGAACGCTGCTGGTACTTTAGCCAGCTGGAGGCGCTATCACAGAAACTGTCCCAACTGCCACGCATAGACACAGTGAGAGAATACACACACACACACACACACCTACTAGTCACTTGAAAAAAAAATGAGGTAAATATAGTGCCCTCTAGTGCAGGCTTGGGCAAACCTTTTTGAACCGCAGGCCAACATTTCATGAGGTGACAGGTCTGGAGCAGATAGATGACATGTAATGGTCATAGAGGGTAAAATGCTTAAATGCTATAAGCCTTTTCTACGCCATCTATTGGAGAAATGTGGGCATTGCAGGGAAAATGCAAACAGGTATAATGATAATAGAAATTAATAACATAATTTGGACAAGTTTGATGGGCTTGATTAAAAAGCCAAACAGGCCGCATTCAGCCCCCGGGCCGTAGTTTGCTCATGCCTTCTCCAGTGTTAGGATTTGAAAGTTGGACAAATAAAAATGACATTTAAAAAAAAATTTAAACATTTAAAAAAGTTCAGATTCTGCAGTCTTTAGGCATGGATGATCCTAAATACCGCCCCCTACAGCCTGACCCCGGTCCTGTCTCAGTTCTCTCTGCAGATGGACCTGATCCGACAGCAGCTGGAGTTTGAGGCTCAGCAGCTTCGCTCCATGATGGAGGAACGATTTGGGACGAGCGAGGAGATGGTTAACAGAAACCAGGTGAGAGAGGCGGTGTGATGATGTCATCAAGTTGGTTTACTCTGTAATGTGACGGCAGAAACGCTGTGAAAGATACAACACAACTGACCTGTGTGACCTGTGTGTTCAGATGCGTGTTGGTCGTCTTGAGCAGCTGGAGAAGGAGCTGCAGGAGGTCCGAGGGAATCAGGAGACTGAGTTACAGGTGAGACATGGTGAAAACACACATCTTTCACATAAACCAGTGACTTGTTTCATTAGCTTTATTATTTTTAACCTGTTCCTGTGGTCAGTATTTGTTTCCATGGTCAGTATTTGTTCCTGTGATCAGTATTTACAGTAGAACACGGATACTTAACGGTTAGCCTGTTAGCAGTTAGCTTGATGTCTGTGTCACGATGGTGACATCAGAACAGAACAGTTCTGGTCCAGTCTCAGTTCTTCGTTTCTGATTCTGGTTTCTGATTTCTCACTGCTCTTTAAAACCAAGAGTTGTGTCAGTTCTACGACCCCCCCTACCCTGGTTCTTCAGAGGGGTTTTAGTACCATGTCTGAATTCTGAGCCGAGGTCCTGACCTCCTTGGCTCACTGCAGCAGTCTCTCCCAGCCCAGTTCCACCTGGCACAGTGTAACAGAGCCATTGTAGGCCCAAACCCAGAACCCCGGGTAAAGAGGCTGACTGAAGGTGGCACTGAAGGTGTGAATGTGGACCATGTGGTCCTGGGAGATGCAATAGAAGGACAGAGTCCCAGCATACCAGTTTAGGTAGAGTCCCACCCTGTGGCTGAAGGGTGTGGGTGAGGAGGACTTGAACCTCCTGCTGTTGTGGCAGGGGGTGTAGACCCCCTCTGAGCACTCCAGACTCCAGGACACTGGGTTCTGTCCCAGAAGACACTTGTCCACGTCCCCATTTCTGCACAGACTGTTGTAGGCCACACCAACATCTGCTCCACCTATCCACTCCACTTCCCAGTAGACAGAGTCCAGAAGACCCTCTCTGCAGAGGACCTGAGGACAGTGCCTGAAGCGGTCCAGGTGGTCTGAGCGCCGATTCTCGGTCCAGAACCGGGTAGCGGTCCTGTTTCCGTCGGTCAGCAGGAGCTCGGAGTTTGCCGTGCTGGGGTCCAGGGTTAAATAACAGGCAACTGGTGAATGTAGAAAAGGAGCAGGGACACAGGTTCTTTAATGTTCCGTTAGCCGTTAGCTCATGTTGATGTTTTTTAGCCTGTTCTGCAATACTTTTCACTACTTACTACTACTGTCTTGTACCGTCGTTTTGGCCGCTGTGCTGTTTGTAGGATACATTTAAGTTGTCGTTTGGTAACCTTTAACTGTCTTTGAGGTAATGGTTAACATTTTTAACTAGCCTCCTGGTTATAGTTATAGTACTCATCCGCCATTTTACGGTCGTCTGTGACTGTTGGAAGATCTCTAACCTCAAATGTAGTTTTAAAGTAGGCATCTGGACTCACCTCAAGTAAGTTGAAGACGTTTCAAATCTCAGCCAAGAGGCTTCATCAGGTGGATGAGAAGATGGATGAGAGGATGGATGAGAGGATGGATGAGAGGATGGATGTGAAGCGTCTTCACATTACTTGAGGCAAGTCCAGTTTCCCACTTTAAAACTGCCTTTGAGATTATTATGATGATCTGGATGACTAAGAATATCCACAAATTTGAAGAGCTCTCTTAACTTTTATATTTTAGCTAAGGTTATTTTTTGGCTTTTCTTTGGATGTGCTCTACCTACGATGCAACTCTTCGCAAACGAGGCCTGAGTGTTTATTAGAAACTCACTGCTGCCTTAGAAAAAATAAAAATAAAAAATAAAAAAACATGAAGAAAAAAACATGAAGAACATGTGATCTTACAGTTCTTCAGGGACCACGGATCTCCCTCCACCACTCCACATCCTCCTTCTCCCACCATCTGCTTCCTGTTGGACCAAAAGCTCAACAACTTCAGTGGAGAACTGAACAATAAAACACAGGTTACTCAGTGTTAGTCTGACCTCAGTCTCACCTCAGATCCTGGTCCCTGGACTCCTCTCTGAGACCAAAGACTCTGAGCTCTGAAAAAAGATGACGTTCCAGTGGTTGGTCCTCCCTGGTGGTCTGCTGGCAGCCATCTTCAACTTCACCTTCACATCTGTCACCAGCTACAGAAGAACTGACTTAATACCTGGACCAGAACCTCAGGCTCAGTTGAAGAACCTAGAGTAAAAAGACCTGACCTAGAATTTGAGGATAAAACTAAAACATGGCCAAACAAGTGAACCTGGACTTGACCCTGCATCCAGATCATCCTGCACATGAACAGTAGTCCTGATCTAAATCTAAACCTGAGCCTCAACATAAACCTGGACCTACACCAGAAACTGGATCATGATTCAGCTACTGGTGCCAGTGAACGTACCAGCGTCAGCCTGAGACGGCCACATGGTCTCCTCTCTGTGATTGGCTGAGGTCTCCGCTGTTTCCTCAGTTGCCCGTCTCTCCTCTGGTCCATCCAGACTTTGGTCCCCTGTCCCACCACAAACCTGGGTCTGGTTCTCAGCCTGGTGTGAAGGCATGTTCTGCTTGTCCTCTGGTGTCTCCAGTGACCTCTGTTGTCCCCTGAACACCTTCATCAATGTGTCCTCTGCTCTTTCTGATGACTTTGCTCCTGCATCCTGTTCCTCTTTGTCCTTGTTCAGGCCTGTTCTGAAGACGTGGTCCTTGTGGAGACTGGGAGGTCTGTAGGACTTCTCCTTAGACTGACTGACTTCAGGCTCGTTGGTCTTCATATCTCTGCTGAAGGTGTTTCTCAGGTCCTCTCTGAGCTGGTTCAGGTCTTCCTGGAGGAGACTGAGTGAGCTGACGCTTACACTTTTGTCCGGCCTTTTTTTGTCCTTCAGGAGTTTGAGGACTTCATCAGTGACCTGACTCAGGTCTCCTTTAAGAAGACTCAGTGGACTGGTCCTCCTCAGCTCTTTATTGTGTTGTTGGACAAGTCCTCCACTGTCCTCCTCTGGAGGTTTCTGTGACAGGCTCATCTGTTGTGTTAGCACCAGTTAGCATTAGTTATTGAACATAGGTTAACACAAGTTAGCAGCAGGTACACAAAGGTTAGCATCAGTGACTAAATGTCAGTTAAGTATGAGTTTTTACCAGCCTGTGAATACAAGTTAGCACCTGTTAGCATCATTTAAAAAACATAAATTGGCTTTAGTCTTTTAAATGTTCCTCACTTCGATTTGTCATTTTCTTTAGCTTGTGTTAGCCTATGGTAAAGGTTTAGCTTCTAGAAATAGTTGGAATACTTTCTTTAATCTATTTTAAATTGTCATCATTAGTCTGAAGAGGAGTTAGACTTTGTTGTAAGCATGTGAACAGTTGTTTTGAATGTTTTCAAAGGTTGAGGTGTTAGCTGAGGTTATTCAAGTCTTAACACCGAAGTACAGGTTCAGACCTGGTCACAGTAAATCTGGTTCCTTCTCTTACCTGAGTTTGAGTCAAAATCCTGCAAAAGTCTGGTCCTTTCTGCAGTCTGGGTTGGGATTTCTTTGATTCTCACCCTGCTCCTAGTGTTGGTCCGGATTTGTGTCTGTCGTCAGTCTTTACGTCTTTCTGGTTGGACCTGTTTGTCTCCATGTTTGTGTCTGACTGCTGGTTGGCTGGTTTGTTTTTTTAATGGAAAATGCTTGGACACTTTTAGTTCTGGTCTAGTTTCAGTCTGTGGTCCAGTCACATCAGGACTGGGAGACTGTAGAAGCCACAGCATCTGTGAACAGACTAACACGACAACAGGCTAACATGACAACAGTTAAACACAACAACAGGCTAACACAACAACAGGCTAACACAACAACAGGCTAGCAGAACAACAGGCCAAAAAGACACGGCTCAGCTTTGAATCTGACTGCAAATTTCTTAATCAGTTTGTTTCCTTTTTCTTAATGGTTTGTGTTGGTTTTAACGATCAGCGGGTTAGTTTTAGTAAAAATACATAAATAAAATACACTATTAACAATAATTGAAATAAAATGATAGCTTATTTATGATTTTACATCCTTCCTCCTCCAGACAGGACCAGAACATGGACCATGAAGTTTCAAGTATTAAAGTAATTTAATCAAAAGTGAATTAATTGAATTACTTTTCAGAGAAAAACACATTGTCTGTGTCTGAGACACTGCATCAGTGCTTCGCTGTCGGCCATTTTGTTTTTCATGCGTCAGTTCCATGGATTTTAATGGAGGTTTAGATCAGAGCTACACACAGAGGGAGGGGTTGCCATGGTAACAGAGGGAGGAAAGCTCGAGTGCAACTCTTAGAAGATTCAGGCTGAATGTAAATGAAGCTGTGTGTGATTTCTCCCTCCTCCTCAGCTGTGTGGAGCAGAGAAGCCACCTGCTGGAGACCCAGAGAACAACATGTCCTCATCTTTAGCTGCAGCAGGAAGTGAAGCTACAGGAGACGCAGGAAACAAGGTGGCCACCACAGATACACACACACCTCCCTACCACCCCTTACTTTATTTACCTCCACTTTTTTGCCAGTACAGTAAAATAATCCCCCTGCTTACCACCAGTGGGGACTAAAGCAGGAGAAGTGGTATAAGCACCCCTAGGGTGCGCTTTCCTCAACTGAAATCTAAGTAGTGGTTTAAGCAGCGCCCCCTTGTCTCAGAGGAGTACTTTCATGGTCTTGGGTCTCTTGATGTCCTCAGGTGGACCTGGTCTTCTGGCTGCTTTCTATGCTGGCCAACAGAGACAAAGAGGAGATGTCCAAAACCCTGCTGGCTCTGTCCAGCTCTCAGGACAGTTGCATCGCTATGAGGAAGTCAGGCTGCGTCCCACTGCTGGTTCAGATCTTACATGAATCTCCTGCTGGAGGAGATACTGAAGGTCAAGGAGTGGCGCCAGGGTGCTGCAGCCGAGAGGCTAAATCCAGAGCCAGCGCCGCCCTGCACAACATTATCTACTCCCAGCAGGACGAGGGTCAGGGTCGCAGGGAGATGAGGGTCTTGCATCTGCTTGAGCAGATAAGGACCTACTGCGACAGCGGCTGGGACTGGATGGAGAGCCATGCCAGGAGGCCCTCAACTGAGGGAACCAGGGGCACAGGTACACGCAACACATGTTAGCCTAGTAGCTCATTTTAGCTTCATTAAGACGAGCTGTATCAGCGTCTAATGATAGCCTACTTTTACTGTTCCTATTTCCGTATCTCACCTTTAGACTAGTTTCTAACATTTTACCTGTTGATAACTGGTTATTTGCTCTTTTCTTTTAAACATTTTTTTGGAGTCTCAGCCTGATATCACTTCCTGTCTCCATCGCAGACATTCCTGAACCCGTAGATCCTCAAATCTGTCAATCAGTGTGTGCCGTTATGAAGCTGTCATTTGAGGAAGAGTTCCGACGTGCGATGAATGAACTGGGTCTGTGGAAACACTGGTACTGTTGTCTCCTTAGATCAAGGAATCAGTTGTGGTCTTTGTTTCCTGACTTTTTTTGGTGTGCTGTTCCTCAGGTGGCCTGCAGGTGGTGGCTGACCTGATCCACCTTGACCAAGACATGTATGGAACTCAAAATGACCCCATTAACATGGCACTGAGACGCTACGCTGGGATGGCTCTGACCAATCTTACCTACGGAGATGTTGTCAACAAGGTGGGCTACCCAAGTGCTAACTTTTAGATACTATTTTAATCCAAGCAGCTTGTGAAAATCCTTTCATGTGTTTCCTTGCAACAGTGATCATGTGATCATGTGATCAACAGTGGTCAAGATCAAGTCTTAACCACTGCCTCACCCCCGGTTCCTTCCTTTTGGCTGCAATGTTTAGAGACTTTTTTCCTCCTACAGGCAACTCTGTGCTCCAAGAAGAACTGCCTCCAGGCTTTGGTGGCTCAGCTAGCATCAGACAGTGAGGAGCTCCATCAGGTGGTGTCCAGCATCTTGAGGAACCTGTCGTGGAGAGCTGACATCAGCAGTAAGAGGGTCCTGCGAAACATCGGCTGCGTTTCTGCACTGATGACCTGCGCCCTGCAGGCCACCAAGGCCAGTGGAACAAACCTTTCTTCCAAAACAAACTAAACAACTTATGTCCGTAATTTTTCATGTGACCTGTTTTTTTGGTTGACCTGGTTCTGCAGGAATCTACCCTGAAGAGTCTCCTCAGTGCTCTGTGGAACCTGTCCGCTCACAGCATCGATAACAAGGCGGACATATGCTCTGTGGACGGCGCCCTGGGCTTCCTGGTCAGCACGCTGACGTACCGGTGCCAGACAAACTCTCTTGCCATCATTGAGAGTGGAGGCGGGATTCTCCGAAACGTGTCAAGTCTGGTGGCGACACGTGAGGACTACAGGTCGGTTCCTGAGACTCAGCACATAACAGATCACCAGCAGAATATTCAGTCAGGACATTAAGTTAGCCTGTGCCCATAGAAGCCAAGTTCAGGTCAGGGCAGGTTTTAAGGCTACAAGGATAAAAATCCCTGAGAACCTTCACAGAAAAGTCTGTGTTGTTGTCTAACTTTTCTGTTGTGTTTACATTTCCTTTTCAGGAAAATCCTTCGAGACCACAACTGCCTCCAGACTCTGCTGCAGCACCTCCGGTCACACAGCCTCACCATTGTAAGCAATGCCTGTGGAACCCTATGGAACCTCTCCGCCAGGAGTCCCAAAGACCAGGAGCTATTGTGGGACCTGGGAGCAGTAAGCATGCTGCGAAACCTTATTCATTCAAAGCACAAGATGATAGCTATGGGCAGTGCTGCAGCTCTACGGAACCTCCTCACTAATCGACCACTAAAGTATAAAGACACTGCCGTCGTGTCCCCTGGCTCCTGCATGCCCTCACTCTACATGAGAAAACAAAAGGCTTTGGAGGCGGAGCTGGATGCCAAGCATCTGTCCGAGACCTTTGACACCCTTGAGAGACACAGCCCCAAGCACTTGACACTTAACAAGTCCCTGCGGCACATTGAAAGTCTGGCCAAGGACTACGCTTCTGATTCTGGTTGTTTTGATGATGATGAAGCTCCTAACGTCTCCAGCAGTCTGGACACTGGTAGCTTCTCCATGCTTTCCATGTTTCTAACAAATTCAAACTTTGTTCACAACCAGCCTCGTAAGAGAGACAGTGAACCAGAGAGAGACGTAGAACCAAATCTTGAGATGGAGAGGAAACATGTACCATCTGATGATGTAGTATCTGCTGCTGCGGAAAAGCTAGCCAAAAAGATTACCAACACGGTAGCCAAGATTGACAGGTTGGTAGAGGACATCACCATGCACACATCTTCTGAAGACAGTCTGAGCCTCAGCTCTGAGGACCACCTGGCAGATTGGCCCTACAGTCTGAATGAACTCAATGAAGGCCGCGCCTCCTCCTGCTCTCCCTGCCACCTCTCTGATACAAGCAGCCTTACCCCCAGGGAACGGCTCAGCCGAGCCCACGCCCTATTACGCCTAAAAAATGCCCACACAAGTGTGTCAACAGACAGTCTCAACAGTGGCAGCACCAGCGACGGCTACTGCGGCAGCAAGGACCAGGTGAGAATGGCTCCAAAGAACCTAATCACACAACGGCAGCGACCCAATCAGCTGGATCTAAACATGGCTCATCAACAACACCTGGATGTAGAAGCTGAGGGCTCCGTTGAGAGAACCCAGCAGGACATTCCAGAGAGGGACTGTGTGGACAACAGACATGTTAATGTGATGGAACAGAGCAGCGCAGTGAAAAAACAGGAACAACCTGTGCAAACGCCAGTCAGTGCATCCACGAAAGTATCCTCTGATGTTAGCATGACCTCCATCAAGTTGTCTCCATCCTATCAGCAGGTCCCGCTCATCCAGAGTGTGGCCAAGTTTGGTGTGGCCAAGTCAGGTATAAATGTCCAGGCTGCCCAAGCAATGAGGCGACAGGCTTGGGTCCCCAACGTCATAACTGGTGGGAGTATTACAAAATTTTCACCGATGGCATCCACAAGAAGCCCTGCCATTGGCACCATGGAGACAGTCCAGAAGTATTCTGTGGAGAACACACCCATCTGCTTCTCCCGCTGCAGTTCTCTGTCTTCCCTGTCCTCCGGGGATGGAGCTTTGGACGAACAGAGTGAAAACGAACTGGAGAGCGATTCGTCTGTAGAAATCATTGAAGTGGAGGACAGTGACACCTATCATAGAGATGAGGAGGATGAAACCCTGGAGGATCTCAGTGACAGCCACCTTTTAAAGACAGACTCCAAAAGCTTCCCAGGTAAAGAGATGGCGCCCGTTGAAATCCCCCATTCCGCAAGAAAGGAAAAGGTTTTTCTTCGAGCCGCTTCCCCAGCCATGCACGAAGACAGATCCCCATCCAGTTCTTCTGAGAATTACGTTCATGACACACCCCTGGTAATGAGCCGCTGTAGTTCCGTCAGTTCTCTGGATAGTTTTGAGTCTC